CCACAGGTCAATCATCTGGGCTGCCACATGGCTGAGCGGTAGGTAACTGACCACCACCTCCTCAGCATAGTTAATATTTACCTTGGATGATCCTATATATGCTGTCCATGTCAGCTGCACATTAACAAGTGGGAAAAAGGTGTCATCACAGAGTTTTTTCATTTCAATACCCCATCCTGTAATTTCACAATGCAAAAAAAAGGTATTATGATTCAGCTGTTTGGGTTTTGAGGACACGTTTTACATCCTCCAGTCAGTTAATGAGATGGTGGTGCAGGCTTGTTGCATTTGAGAAGAATTGATTGTAAAAGAAACAAATTCACTTCATGTTAAGAATATGTGGTTTTAGCCGAACTCCAAAAACAAATCTATAAAGCTTATACAGATAATTTGCTTCTGGAGATATCAAATGTCATATTAATTTCATTTAAAAAATATTACGATTATTATTGGCAAAACAAGATGCATGCTAATTTCCAGAACTTTATATAAAGACGATTCTATATTATCTTTATACTACTTCATTATTTACCCAAGATTTGAAGATTTTATTTGTCATACATCACTTTTAATAAATGCTTGACTTTTGGTTGAATGAACAAGGCACTGCAAAGTTCTGAAGCACAGATATGACTTTTTGACTTTATAACAAATAGTTCATCTGAAAAATATTTGGCAGGTTAATCAATGATTAAAACGACACTTGCAGCCCTAATAATGATTCATATTTAAAAGCGGTCCTGCCAAAAATAATAAAACTGAAAAAACAAAGCATCTGTATTTTGAATCTTTGGTGGTTTTGTGGCTGTTTGCTGGAGTTGTTTGTCTTAATGCATCAATCAGGAGTTGTGTTTCTAATTTTGTCAGACATATCTTTCCAATGGCCATAAACGCTTTGTACTCCATTTTAAGTAACTCACATTGTCATGGCTCAACATGACTCCTTTAGGGTTGCCAGTGGTTCCAGAGGTATAGATGAGAGTACAGCACTCGTTGGCTCGAAGACTGTCAATCACAGTATTCAGCTGCTCATCGGGCACGTCCTCGCCGAGCTTCATAAACTCTGCCCACTACAGAAATACAAAGATAAAAGCTTAAAAAAGTTCGTCCAAACCCAGACTGAACTGTACTGAAATGCAGTGATGTAGTTCAGTCACATTTATCGAACTGAAATTCTTAGAGCACAAGTAAGAAAGAAGATAACACTACTGAATCAGTGTTTTTGCTGAGTGAACATACTGTATACAGGAATGGTGCTTTCTTCTGCAGCTCTCCTTTATACTGGACAATGGCTTTCAGATGAGGCAGCTGGTGTTTAACCTGTTGGCAAACACAAAGTTAACTAAAGCACGCAAGGATACATTTCTTTCTTGTCTTTGCAAACAGTTATTATAGGCACAATAAGGAATGGTGCTGTAATAAAGCTGCAGGACCTGCAGGATTTTGTCGAGCTGTTTCTGGTTCTCCACAACAAAGACGTTGGCCTCACAGTTGGCAGCCACATACTGACAAGCCTCTGCAGAGTTGGTCGTGTAAATGCCAGCTGCTAGACCCCTGTGGCACAAATCAGATGTAGAAAATCTAAGCTCAGTTAAAACTACACTTGCCTACAGTCTGTTTATCTTTTTTTAAATCTTAACAATGAGCATTAACAATGAGTTACAAAACATAAAGTGCATGATATGCCATGAAATCAAAATTAAACACATTGCAAATAAAAGACTTTCAATATATATTGCCATGCTAAAGGCTTCATCCTAGAAGTAAAATGGCAACTTAAAACCACTTGAAGAAAAAGTAACTAACAAATCTAAAACAATAACTCAATGAATCTAATATTGAAAGCCAGGGGAGTTGGCACTTTGTTTTACTGGATACCTCATCTACTACAGAAAATCGTTGCAAAACAGCCTTTTATTGCACAAAACCACATTTTTTATTTTTGAATTCTTCATCAACTATGGGTATCAAATACTTTTAGCTGTGTCCATAGTTTTTAAAACGCAGTGAACAGCTAGCAGGACTAACACCCACATTCAGTTTCCTGAGACTTTGAACTGCAACAGACCAAACAGGCATGGGCAGAGCCCATATAGAGAGCAGAGAGATATAGTTTGAGATAAGCACAGACAGAGACAATTGTGGAGTGTCAGGTGAGACAATACTGAGACACCTAAAGCATAAAGGTGGCCTGTGAAGTCTGCATTCAGCAAGTCCAGTTACCAACCTCAGCATTTTAGATATGCCATGGCCTACAAACATAGCTTCAGTCTTATCCAGCTCTGTAACATCAAGATGATCTTACCCAGCGAAGATGCATCCGATGTCTGAGATGAACCACTCAGGGGAGTTAAATCCCAGAATCCCCACACCAGAGTAACGCTGCAGCCCCAGCTAAACAGATAAATAGATAAGTTGCATTGTTAAAGAGCACAGTGCCTCTGTCTTTTTTATCATCATCTCATTTCAAAAGTTATTCCACCTCATGGGACATGAATATGGTCATGATGTAAAATGAGATGTGTGTGAATTTCACACACCCATTTTTTCAGCAGGTTTTCTCACACCAAGGAGAAGACTAAACAGAGAGAAGGAATACTGCAAATTCTCAAGTACTGTTTATAAATTAGGTGCCAGGAATTCAAGGTTTTGTTAAGCCTGCAATTCTTCGAATATAGTTCATGTGCTCTCAAAAAAATTCGTCCCTCTACTTAATAAAAAAATAAATGTACATACAGTGCAGGCAGAAATCATAGCTAGTAACTTTCACTACTTTTGGCTGTACTAGCAGTGGTTTTGAATGAAACTGACTATAACTTTAAAAGTACTCACATTCATCCTTTAAGGGTGTTTGAGGGTATTCACGTGCATATTGGGTGAATATGAACTTGTAGAGCTGCATATACCTAGTACTCCTGTCTTAGGACAATAATGATCACAGACATACAAACACCGTCTAAAGCCAAACTAGAATTAATGCCTCACAGTTGTGTGTCTCCACCAACCAACCAGTCATGTTGCAGTTTACATCCATGTCTGTCCAGTCTCATAATATATGTCAGGAAAACTTTGAAGGAACTTAATAAAACTATCTTGTGGTAAAATTGAAGTAATCACTATAATGACATGTATGATTTTACCGAATAATTTCTAGTGAGAGACAGTTTTTACAGAGGACAGAGAGAGATCTGTGTCACACCATCCTTGAATCCAAGTAGATGTTTGAGCCAAATCTGAAGAATGGCCCTCAAGGCATTTCTGTTTTTTTTGAAAATGACACAGACAAACACAACATAATGCCTCCTGGCCACGGCTGTCGCCAGTGTAGTCACACAGAAAGCAAAGAAGTAAAGATGTGACAGAGCATCAAAGCAAGATATCCAGTATCTGGTGATGTACATCTCGTGTTATTAAATAATTATTGTGGCAATTTGTCCACTCAGTTCATTTGAAAGTGTAACTTTGTGTACATCACTTGAAACTGTGTGCATTGAATTAGTCATATGTTTATCACATGTACAAGACAGCTGAAGAAGAAATGAACACATTTTGTAGATATTTTCCCTTTCGATTGTGGAGTGTAACATTAGTATCTAAACATTTTTGGCTTTTTTTCCATGTAAGATCAACAGAAAAGGCATAAGATTAAAGGTTTATACAATACAACTGTTCCACAGTTTGGCTTGGAGCCTTCAGTTTTCAGTCTTCTCCACTTCAGTGTTTCTGTAGTTACTGCTCTCTGACTTTGTAATGCACTGGATGTAAATACCCTTAAATGAATGCATTCATACAGTGCATTACAAAATCAGAGAGCAGTAACTACCCTTAAATGAATGCTATTGCTAAGATAGCGCTTTAATCTATCAGTTAATGTTTCATTCAAAATCCATTAGCCTGAAGTAGAAAGTCAACACAACAAAAAAATGTGTCACTCACTGCCCAAATACATCTTTACTGCACTAAACAAGCACACAGTAATATATATATATTTTTTTGTATAACAATCACAGAATCAGTTAATTTACAAACAAACCTTAAGAAAACTTTTAGCAGCTGCCCGACACTGCTCGTAGTATTGCCTCCATGTCAGGGTCACCCACTGGCCGTCTTTCTTGGAAACCAGAGCTGGATGGTCCTGGTATTGCTCCACAGTCTCCAGGAACATTTGATGGATGGTGATGGGGGTCCTCGAGGCCGGGCCTGAGCTCTCCATCCTCAGCTTGACTGCCTTGTCTCTGCTGGTGGTCCATAGCTGGTCGGATGGGGACAGAGTTGTTGCCACACTGGCCGTCAACAAGGAAACTGCCTTGGGCTCTTCTGCATTGGAATAACAGGGACAGCCGCATTTCCTCGCCATTAATGACAAATCAAATTTCAGAAGACACCCACACCACACAAAGACACAAGCTTGTCCTTCAGAAGTAGAGTCAGGTGTATAAGTGGACTGACATCTCTAGACCACCTCTGTGGGTGTGTTACACTTAATGAATCAGAGAAACATGATGAGCAGGTTGTGCAATGAACAGGGTTGGAGTCTGCTGTTACCCGAGACAAAATGGGAAGTCATGCACTGACCATGCTAGTCAATAGTACACAACTAAATGTGCCAAAGAATGGGACAGCATTTATGTGGAAGTCCCTGAGCATTTTAGCTATTGTTACAGCTCTTTGACCTCCTGTGCATTTTCTTCGTCGCAGTGAGACATGCAGCAGTAAGATGCTAAAGGTAAAGTCTAATTTACAAACTAGTCTTTACAGAACTGCAACTGTTGTTCACAGAAATCTGTGAACTGATGCTCCAAATTACTAAACTCTCTTCAGTCCTTACAAAGCCTTTCAGAACCAGCATTAAACAGATGCAGATCTTTTTTATTCAGTTGCATACTCTCCTTCTTAACATGTCATCCACCTTTACACACGACATGACATATTTCCTTCTATGAACGGGGGCTTTCTCTTATTCTGATGTAAGAACAGAAAGGTTGTGCAATTTTATAAGTCAAAATGCTTATCTTCAGCTCAGTTCCTCGCTGTTTTTGGGCTAATTTTCAGAATGTATTGTTGTAAATGCACAGTGTGGTTATGAGAACGTTCAGCTGTCAGTGAGAAAAAACCCCAACATGTTTGCCACTGCTCTATAATCAACACTGAAGCTCAAAGGAAATTTGATACTGTGGAAAAACCTGCCAGAGAAGGTTGTTATGTAAAAACGCAACCCTTTGACCTTTGAAAGTGATGTATTTGCACAACTAAAGAGGCTGTAAAGATAAAACTAACCAGAATTTCACATTTTACAATAAAAAAATAAGTCAATAATTTAATAAATTAAGTCAATAATTTATAATAACCTGTATTATTTGTCTTACTTATCTCAGAAACCCTCAAATTTGTCTTGTGCTCCAGGAAGCCACTAGAAACTACTATGCTCCACAATCAAGCATTTTGTTCTTAGAAATTTTTGCTTCAGATTAGTTTCTCTCAGCTAATATTACACTGAAGTTGTTACCTGGAGAAAGTCCTTCAGCAGTCCCTCCATTGTCCTGGTTCTCTGAAGCTGCACTGAGGTCAGCTGTCGGGGCTTTGCCATTGAGGATGACAGAGGAGTGGGTCTTTCTGTTCCTACAGTCTGACAGCGTCAGTGCCTTTAGAGAAGGGATGCTGTGAAAGCCATCGAGAATGAATGAGAACTAATATCCAATTATGGATGAACATGTTTACATACATAAATCAAAAATCATTTTACGTACCTCTCAGTATTACTGTCCACGACTGCAACACCATTACTCATAACCAAATCTTCTGTGACACTCATCTTGTATTAGCTAGAGACAGAGAAGACTTAACTGGGCGTGAAGTAAAATCAGCATTAACTGAGGACACACAGATAAAAGTATTGATTATGAAAACAGCCCAGCTCTGCTCTTTTATACCAAACTGACATTCACTGGTCACTGCAGCAGGTCGGAGCCAATGTCTGCTGATGTTAGTAATCACGTACTGCAATGTCTCACTGATGAAACTGTGAATGTTGTGCCAGAATGCACGAGACAGCTACACGCACTATTTGTTCTCTTTGCCTGAAACTATGACCACCTTCGGCCCAAATAATCATATCTGTCATAGAGACAGAAAATCCTCATCCCAGTTATCCCTAGTTAATTAAAATTAAAGTGACTATGCCAAGTTTCAGGTTTTAAAAAAAACTTTTAACATTGTCATAAAGAGATCTTTCTCAGCTCAGTTCTATTGTGTCTGTATAATGAAATAATGCCATCTAGTGTGTCTATTTTGGAAACAAAGCCAGCACTGCACACATGCACTCAGATGGCTGTTTACCTCTGCCAACATGCGCTCTCTAAGTGTATTAGACTGCTTTAGTTTTAGCTGGGTGTTCCTTATAAACTGCCAACTGAGTACATCTATCTTATGGTCATATGCTGTACCTTTAAATACCTACACTGTCAAGAGTAATTATCCAAATTCATCATATCTGCAGTCACTGATGTGTAATGTAATACATTTATAGTAAAATCATACTGGATTAAGAACTGTTGAGACATCATATTCTCTCAGTCTGACCTCTGGTTCCTAAGATAACTTTGAGCAAGATTTCTCTGGACCAAAGTTCCTACCACTTACAAAACTACAGTGTGGCAATAGGAAGTGGCAACAGTAAAGTCTTTGCTCTGGATTATGAAAATATCAGTTAAAGTGCACTGTAATGCATAAAAGGTCAATTTCAGTCTCATTAACAACTTTGGTTTGTACATTTATCAGAAGAGAAATTACCTTTGTGGGAAGAAGGGGACTGTTCCTTAAATTGACACATTGTTGAAGTACCTTACATACTGCTGAGCAGCTTGTGAAGCCCAATAAAGTCTTATAAGTATCCTGTAATTTTTGTATTAATCTGGTTCTGAATAGCAATTAAAGTTATTAAATAAATCTAATAGAGTAAAAAGTACAATATTTGTCCCCTAAAATGTAATGAAGCCTAAGAATGAAGTAACACAAAATGAAAATACTCAAAGTACAGATACCTCAAAATTGTACAGTACTTGAGTAAATGTATTTAGTTACTTTCCACCACTGAAACAATGAAATTCCTGTCCAGAAAAGAGTTGTAATATAAACCATAAACCATAAAAGATTTTTCTACAGTATGTACAAGTTGGTGTGGACGTACGTCCTTATACACACCCATACCTTATGACCACAAATGACACTCTACACAAGTCATTTCACAACGTAACATCAAAAGGTATAAAGCCTACCTTCTTTGTTGACAGAGCAGTGCATCAACTTGTCAAGCATAGGACCTGGATTAGTCTTCACCCGCTGTAGGTACACAACTGTTGGCCCCTGAGGGAAATATCAGCCTATAGAGAACTTGAATGAGGACGTACCAAGTTCTCCTGGACTCATGCCTTGTCCAGAGCTACAAAGACTTGCACAGTCCTTTGTACACCTGCCGCTGGGGGCATGCCGACCAGTTAAAGATCCACCAGTAATATGCAATGACTTACCAAGGTGAGGAAGACCTGGAACCTGGCAAACATTCCACAGCCATCAGAAACCTTTCTTTATACTAATTATAGCAGCTGATAACTGTTGGCAGTGGTGACAGTCCGAAACATTTCACATAAAAAAAAAAGATTTAAGGACATTATAAAGCAATGCGGTAAAGCTTGAGTAGGTGGTTATGTGCATTATGAAGACTTTTATTATCCCAAATGGACTTACAGACAGTTAGAAGACAGTTATCAGATATGCTATCACAGAGAACTATCAAAAAAAGATAGACTAGATATGTTCACACGTTTATGAGGATAGATTACACTTTCACTCATAAAACAGTTGGTCAGATGAACAAAACTTGTGCCAGATTAGCACATCAAGAAAAATGTTGGCAACACACACTACAATGCACAAAATATGGGGAATATTTTTCTGACTTGCTGGAGACACGTTTTGCCGAGTTTCATTAACAACGCCTTGTCTAATTACTTCTCATTGGTATAAAGTGCATAAGGGAAAATAAATAGGGAACAATGATTTTAACTTGGGATCATTTTGCTGGTACACTTAATGGAAGTAGTTTAAAATGTCCAAACTCTGTACCCTCTTTACATATCATTACGTTTCCTCCTTTCTCACTGGGCCGTCTCACAGCTGTCAACATTGTTTTCCAAGTACATATAGGGGAAAGTTCAACCCACTTTCTTAAATGACACACAGTTACCTTGCTGACAGGTACCAAGGTCAATGAATCACGCCACCAACTCACACCACCCGACTTCAACCCCCACTGCTGCTATCTGGACACATGCCATCTGAGGAGGCTGGGAGAGATCAGTGAAGGGATTCATCAGCGCTAAATATTATAGTGTGCCTTAAAACTGGGCTCCCAACAGTAAAAACCTTTATCCATGACACATTATTCATAGAGAAAGCCATGTTGTTCCTGGCATGTTCCTTAAGTAAATACATAATTTTAAGTAGCAATGAAACTTTCAGAAACAATTTTTTAAAATACTCGAATAAAAAAAGAATATCTTTAAAAAAAAAATTCCATATCACAAGAGCACATCTTCATTTTACTTTTAAAATTCACATTTGTGAATTATTGAAATACTTCTCTATTTTAATGTGTTTACATTTTTACTATGTTTGGTAATTGAAGTTGCCTTATCCTTTTTTTTTCTTCATTCAATAATCTAAGTTGGAAATATAACGCAACATGTACATAAGATGATGTAAGATCTACTTTGCTTAGAAGTAACCCGCTGATCGATAAAAGAAAAAAAAAACTGTAGTATTTTGTGCCGACGAGAATCTGTTTTATTACAAGTTCAGATTGAAGAGTTGTTTTCAGCTTTCCATTTGAAAAATAGTGTTTATTTGCAGCCATATCAAACAATTTATTTACTCTTTACTTTCACATTTACTTTGTATATTTGCCAAGATATACATATTTAACATTTCATATTTCATTTGGTGAAGTGAGTTTTCTTTTTTTTTTGGTAGAGATATGAACTGTTTAAATAGCATGTTAAGTAGCATGAAAAACAGAGGTGAAAAGACAGAGAAACATCATTGATTATTTCCATTAATCATTAACTTGCCAATTGTTTCCCAAATTAATCAGTTAGTTGTTTGGTGTATAAAATGTTTTTAAAATTTGCAAAAATTGCCCATCACAGTTTCCAACATTTTCATAGATGTGATCAGCATTTCAAAAATGTAATAAATATGAAAACTGAACAAAACAAAAAAATCCTCACAACAAAATTGCGGATTAACTTTTTTGTCAATTGATTGATTATTTGAAACTTTTCAGCCATATTAACATACACACGGACCCATTATCCTGGTGGCCATGCCATCTGCCTCCCTCCCAGCACATGGATGTGAAGGTGGTACACCGACTGCGAACCGTGCTTTCCATCATTGATCACTGTAGAGGGCAAAAACATACCCAGAATTCAATGTGCAAGTACATTAACAGCCTGTATTTTAACATAAATGACTGGAGGGAAATAACATACCCACTCTGTATCCTTTACTTAGAGATTCTTGCTTTGCCACATTTTTGGCAACAATCAACAAATGTCCTAAGAGCTGAAAGTTGAGAGAAAAAAAAAAACACAGGTGAGGACATAATTTTCACTGGATATCTAAAAATACTGAATATCAACACTGATTCTGATATCTGCAGAACACCAGTTGTGATTGAGAAAGGGCCTATATACTGTATTTAACAAAAAAATCCTTTGAAGGGGTGCTGTGGTCTAAAAAGTCTGCAAACCACTGTTTTAGACTACAATGTGTTTCCATCCGCTTTGTGTGGCAGTCGGGGGAAAATGTTTTATGAACGTAAAAATGACCCTGTGCACAAAAAGTCTGCACAGAACTGGTTTCCTTAGTTTGGTGTAGGTTTGTTTGGTGGCCTGTCCTCAACACCATCCAGCATCTTTGACATTAACTGGCTAGGCATTACTTAAAAGCTCATCACTAAAGCTCTTGTGGCTGAATGGAAGCAAATCTCAGCTAATGGGTTCAGTATTCTTATGGAACAGTGTACACCGTTAAAGCAACAGATGACTGCCCATAGTTTTTTAAATAAGATGTACACCAATCACATATGGGTGTGCCCATATACTTTTGGCCACTGAGTGTGTGTGAATGTGGCTGGATGATAGGCCAACACTATCATAACCCCTGAGAAGGGTCAGTGGTACAGAAAATTGATGAATCATCTTACCTCAACATCATCATCTTTGGCCTCACTTAATCTGGGAATAGGTACCCTTGGAATAACCAGGAAATGAACAGGGGCCTGTGGGCTGATATCCCTGAATGCCAAACACTGAAAAACACACAGAAACAACATGTATGATGTGTTGAATTTCTCAGTTTTATTCTTTTATCTACAGTACATCTTTACCAAGCATGTTTTTAATGTTTTATATGTTTCTATGTATCTCTGGGCTCAACATGCAATAGGCCAAATACAGGGCTGGACTGCCAACCAGGCAAAGCTGGCAACTGCCCAGGGGCCCCAAATGCCTCATGTTTATTCAGTATGAGTTGGTTCTTCATAAGTGGATGATTAGCAAATCAATAGATGACAATCCTGTGCACAGCTGTATGTTTATTCATCTACCAGGGGTCTGAGCTGAAGAAGGAAAACTACTAATAAATGATTGGCATTTCTGCTTATACAAATAAAACGATTATTCAGTTAATGTAATTGTTGCAAATTAATTTTCAGTCAGTCAACTAAGTGACTGATCAGCTGATCCTTTCAGCTAGGTAGTGCTGATTAGTGTCTGGGCAAAAGAGTCCAAACAACAAATGTTTTGCCTGCTTATGAAGACATGTTGTGACGTTTAGTTACCTTCTCGTCTTCATAAATGATATCTGCAGGAAGACTTTTGTCAATCACTTTGGAGAAGATAGTTGGAGCTGGGGAGCCATATTTCTTGCTGGCCTCCTCTGCAAGCCTCACCTCGTCACTTTTGGAGCACAGCGGCCTCTGCGGGTCAGAAAATGAAAGCTCTCAGCTAACACTGCTGCTAGCCTACAAACAAAACATATCAAAACCACAACAAATCAAACCTCTTGGTGGCTGGGCACTGCAGGTTTCCCACAGCCACCACCAGAGCTGGTAGGGCAGGTGGTGTCAAAATGCCCTGTTGCTAACAAAAATAAAATGTTTATGAGGACAAGATGTGTTAATTTTAGAGCAGCTACCTCGGCTCGACAAACACGGTGCAAACAGTTGAGGTGTGCCGTTCTGGACGCGACGAACTGTGCCCGCAAAAGCTGACGAAAATACATACTGTAGCTAGAGAACTAGCTATTTTCTAGCAAATATTATAACACGTATCTTGATTTTTCACGCCAACCCAAAGTGCTCGTTTATAGGGGAAAGTCAAAACACTTCGCCGACCCGTACGTTGATGTTGCCTTCACGTACCTTCCCTCCCGGTAATGCTTATTTAGCCAATTCCGAAATAAGTCGACTTTGTTTCCACACAGCAAGCGATAGAGAGAAAAATACCGTAGAGAAGTGTGAAGTTGTTGTTTTATCTGAAACGTATTTAGCTATATACCGGTAAACTGATTAACAATGTTGGGAAGGGATTTAAAATACGCCGCAGTTGCGAACTGAATTATAACCTAAATTATTCACCAAAATGACACTTTGCCAATGGTATTAGACATTAATTCAGTACTCAGCGTTTCTGAATTTTACATTTAGATGTTATAAGTCTTATTCTTTTCAAGATATTATTGTGGTCAATTCAAACTTACGACATTTTAGAGTGTGTCCAAAGGAGGCATTTAAGTGTCGTTTCGAGAGCAATAGTAACATTCAGTGATGATAACCATATTCCATTAGGAATATAAAGGAAAATTTTGTAATATTGCCTTGAATTGAAATAAACAAGAAAATAATATTTACGTTTTCAGTTCCTACCTTCCTGGGGGTGGAGCTTTAAACGGCAAAAAATATTGTCAAATAAATTCTTTATGTGACTTTTTGTGCAGTAGGGGGCGCTGGTGCGGGAGACTGGCACTTCAATTGTCAGCAAAACGGAAGTAGCTAACTACAATCATACGAGAAACATGGCAGCTCGTATTCGGATGCCCTTGCTATTTCCCCCAAACCTACCTCCGTTTAGAAATCAAAACCTTCTCCACATCGAGGCTGCGGTCAAGGAGCCCTCGTATCCCCCCATCGTCCCCTCTCTTACGGCTAAAAGTAAATCTGCCCGGAGGCGACGGATTGAGGAGCGCGTCAAAAAAATATGTGCCTCTCCCGTGCAGGAGAAGCTCTCCCTCATCACCAGTCTTCAACAGATGAAATTTGTGGTTTACCCTCAGACGTTCGCACTGAACGCAGACAGATGGTATAAGCATTTTACCAAAACCGCATATATCCCGGGCCTACCTGAGAAATTCACCCAGAGCCTGGAGAGGACCGCGGGAGGGGAGAACTCGCCGTCATCCGCGTCTCAAACCGCTTTACCGGGGATTGAAGATGGTGCGTTCGCGGACATCCGCTCCATGGTCACCCGTGTGATTTTACAGCAGCACTGGCTCGTAAAAAAGCGCAGACCTTACCTTTACAAAGAACAGGAGCAGGTGGTCGGACCGTTTCTGAGGAGCCTGGTGACTGGACTCACCTACAGTCTGGCCAGATACAATCCACTGCTCCCCAAGTGCAGTCTAGGTATGGATGACCAGTGGTGGAAGAAGTAGGCTACTCACATCTTTTACTTTAGAAGCATTAGTTAGCATCAAAATATGCTAGAACTGAAACGATAAGCACATTCATGAATTAGATAATCATAAGGAAAAATAACAATCACCTATTTCAGTAATTTATTAATTATTTAAATACATTTTAAGCAAAAATACCAAAATATTTCACTTTTCAGCCTTTTATAAAATCGCAATAAACGGAATAGTTTTTGCTTTAGGTGTGTTGATCAGACAAAGGAAGACATTTTAAAAAATGATTTCATTTTCTTTATCAGATATTAATCCCCAGGTGAACTTTTATTGGACAAGGGGACAGAGAATCATCCCAAAGGGGCACCGGAAAGGCCGACCAGAGGCGACCAGGTTTCAGATTGATGACCACCCACAAAGTCAAATCAGGATAACTCAGCAACTGCCACAGGTTGAAATCCTTTTCAGACCATGGAGTTGATGTATTAAAATAAAAAAAAGAAAAGATTCTCAAAGAATTTTTTTCTTCAAGATTTGAGAGGAGAACCCCTTTTGTAATTATTGGTTTTTATCTGTACTCTGTTGGGTTATCAATGAGTTTTCATACATGACAAACCGGAGCAAATCATTGCACATCACTGAAGGACACACAAGTCATTAAAGTAGACAGGCACTGAAATTTAGTAATTTAGTTCTAATCACTTTCTCCCATTTGAATTTTTCCCAGTTTGCACCGCTGGAGGCCTCATATTCAGCTGAAGTTCCAGAGATCACATGTGCCCCAAACCTGATGCCTCTGTTCAGAAGACAGTATGACAACAATATTTTCACAGGTACACAACGACAAGACAGCAGTCACATCCACTGTGTTGTACTTTGGTAATGAGGGTGCACTGGCTTGTGCGGCCTCTCGTGGCTGAGTGGGGTGCATTGGCCCAGACACCAGTTGTTAGTTGCAGCCCTACTTTTCTCAAAAAGATAGTCACTCCTAATTGGTTACTTATATACATTTTCATGATTTAGTATCAGTCAGAATTTTGAAGAAGATGCCTGTTTATATGAAAAGTGTTCAGTTATAAACGTGTGGCTAAAAGGAAGGAACATGGTTTTCATTAATCCCTCCTTTTTCAGCTGTGTTGTTTATATTGAATTCTGGGTCTCATTAACAGGTGCAAAGCTACCAGACCCAGCATGCTACGGTCACACTCAGTTCCACCTGGTACCTGACCGATATCACAGAGACCGGATGGCTCGAATGCAGCAGTCTGACCAGGTCGAGGTCTTCCTCAGAGCCAATGCACTCACCAGCCTCTTTGCCTGGACGGGAGCTCAAGCCATGTACCAGGGTGAGTTGCCAACAGAGAAAAGAGACATCAGATGTGTCTTTTACTACTCCTTTAATTTAAAAGAGAAGAAATAACTGTTTCTCATACCTCCCTTTTACCAATGTAGGTTTCTGGGACTACGAGGATGTCACCAGGCCGTTTGTGTCCCAGGCTGTGATCACTGATGGCCATTTCTTCTCCTTCTTCTGCTACCAACTCAACACATTAGCCCTCTCTGTGGAGACTGATGTCAACAACCCCAGGAAAAACGTTCTGTGGGGCACTGAGAGCCTGCGCCTGTATGACAGTGTGCAGGACGGCGTGGTGGTGGGCCTGAATGATAGCGTTATTAAGCTTCTGGTTCAGTTTCTCATGAACCGGCCATAGTCCTTTTGGTTCTTGTCTTCTCTTGAGATCCTTTGTCTGCCTTTGAAAAATGTCTTAGGGGAGATTTCCTTTAGTCTATGCTCTCCAAGGAATTTGAAGATGTAAGAAATCAAGAGAAAGAGGCTTTAAAGAGGCCAGCATGGCAGACATGAGGAAGATTTGTCAGACTGTACAAAATATAATGCAATGAACCACATATGCCATACTTGCATTAAAAGACCACTTGATTCCAGTCAGTTCTTGTATGATGATTCACAGTGCAGCTCAGTCACCTCAGTTCACGTCTTTCTAACTTCACTCCCCCAGACTTTTATTTTTCATTTTCAGGCTTCTTCTCTTCAGATTAAACTGATAACCACAGAAGGCTTTACACAACGTTTTTCACTCATGCAATCATTCTCCCCAACACACAGACAGCAGCGTTACCCTTTTAGTAAGCTTTGTAGAAAGAAATTCTTGATAAAATGATATAGTGCTATGTTATGTATTTGCAAAACTGTTCAAATAATTGTTTCATCTGTTTGACCTTTGGAAAGACTTGACCTGTGGACATGAACATGTAAGGAGGTGCAGAGAGACTCACAACAACAGGAAGTCGTGCAGATACATACTGAGATGACTAAACTGTCTGCACGAGAATAGTGTGTGGGTGTAAGGTCTGATTGTATTGGCTTCAGATTATCAATATCTACCAACATATGAAATTCTAGGATTGACATTATAATCTGCATTAGCAAATATATTTACATGATTATTTTCGTATGCATTGTAATAGTATCATATGCTTTATGATTTCCTTGGGTTAACCATTGTTAAGAAGTTTGTTCTGACTTCGACCCCTCCTCAGAAATGAACATGCAGGACGCTTAGGTCCTTCAGCTTCATCCGTATCGGCTCACACAAAAGCTTTTCAAAATGTGCAAAATGCATGTTCATGTCTTATATAGACAATTAGTGAAAGAAACAAAATAACAGTGATTTGTGTAGTTTTAATTTGTTTGCCTTCATATACAGTGGACACCATTAAGGTAATATATGTTGATATAATAATATAAATATTCATGATATTAAGGTAAAACATAGTAGGTAGATTTGCAATTTTAGGCACACAGCATTTCAAGAGCAAACTCTACAGAGAAAAAAGTGGTTGCAAACACACATTGGTTAATTGCTTTTTGAGAGTGTAAGGCACTGCTCACAAACCCTAATGCATAAACAACATATAAGAGTTGAGGTTTAGGTTGCTGTCCCAAAGAAGATAGCACACCTTCCTTTTGACAGAGAGGTGACAAAGGTAGAGTGAGGCATGAAATCAACCACAGGATCGCAGGAAGTGAGATGATACTGTACATGGTTCACGGCTAAAAAATAGAGTAGGCAGACACTCTTCTCTTCCATCTGTTGTAACAACACTACTGATTCAAAATAAAATCATTATTTCCAATGAAAAGCAGCACTATTTAAAAACTAGTATGAGGTTACATGAGCAACCATCAAAGTCTGCATGTGGTGGTTTTTGCACCATGTTAGAACAGGTGACATATTCACAGAATAATAGTTTATGTATTGCTTTTTAAACTCTATAATTCATTTTTGAAAAGAAGCCAAACTGTTAGAGAAGCTTGAATCTGCTGGATTTAAACTTTGCGCTGTCTCACTGAAGAATTTCCCTCTTGGTCTTTGTTTTCTCCTTCCGTTCTGATAAAGGCATAAAAGTTAACATCATGAAAAACCACAAATATATACAGTACATCAACTGTAAGAAATGTTGGTACCACTTTCTGATAAGACACCATTTATTATGTTTGCAGCTGTACATGATAGTATGACATTATTAAGGATGTTTCTGGCTGCTACAGTCGTAAGTCTTCATTTGTAGATTTTAATAATCAGTGTATAAGTGGAGTTTGGTCCCATTGACCTGCAAACCTGCAGAGAGGACCCCCTTATGATTAAAAGGGCTTGCTAAAAATACAAAAAAAGTGTTGTGCTGCAGGAGGATTTTCCAGTTGAGCAAGCCAAAAGTTTTTCTGAAAAATGACATATAACTGATCTGATAAACTGATCATATAAATGATTTATTTACCATGAAAAAATCCATTAATTATAGCCTTTAAAATCTTTATAAATGGTGCTTTAACAGAAAGTGGTATTAATGTCAGAGAAATTAGCACCAATCACATCTTACTCACAGTGTGTATGTTTGGTCAGCATTTGTCTCATTTCCTGAGAATAAGAGACATAATTTAAAATGACAACATACTCTACAACATAATGCGGGCTGAAATCAACATGAGTATCTGTATGTTCTCTGATTACCTGTTGCACCATCTTTCTTAGACTGACTTTTCTCACAGAGCAGAATAATGGCAACCAGGACAATAACTTCAGCCAGGATGGCAAGGAAGGGCTTCAGAGGTTCCCAATAGGTGATGACCTTCAGCAATGATTGAGGAAGTATTCAGTTTTTTTACTTAAGCAACAAATGGTTATTTAAATAAAACTGAGAATCTTAGAGGGAAAAATACTCTTAACAACTCAGACACCTGAAACATCATAAAGGGCCCTGACCAGACAAAGTTTTTATTGTAAAGCCAGTGAGCCAAATAGGCCAGGAACCACTGGTTTAATCTTTAACAATGTATTATTACTTAATATAAGGCTATCTTGTGTTTTTGACTAAAATCTTTAAAGGTAACAAGCTATTTGAAGTGTTCGCAAAATGTGTTGGGTTATATCAATTTCCTTCTGAAATGTAGTGGGGATAAATTGTAAATTAACATAAACTAGAAATAATAATGTAAAAGCACTTCAAAATTTAAGTATGTCATTGAGTAAATACAGTTAATGACTTTTCACCACTGACCTTCAGCTTCACAGGACTCTTTGTGGTAGCGATGGCGTACACTGCACCACAGTAATACAGGCCGGAGTCGGCCTCAGTCAGGTTGTGCACCACCAGCTTGGTCTTCTCGTCTTCGTTCTTGATTTTATATCGAGGCTCTTCAGCAGGGAAAATCTGCTCCTGCAGGACAAAAGCAGTGGGACAAGTTATACAGAATGTGTAATTCAATGCCACCATTTTTTATTAGATGGCTGCTGCATCTTTAATTACAGGTAGTGAACATTATCTCAGGGCTATGATAAAGAAAGTAAAGTTTTTAAATTGATCTTTTTATTTACTTGTGGAAATTATTGAATAAAACTAGCAACCCTGTTTATTCAATTGACCAATTAAAAACTAGAAATAGATGTTTAAAAATAGCCAACGATCTACAGTGCATCTCACTTAAAACCAAATTGAACACAGCCTGTCAGCCCGTCAACACACTCACACTCAGCACAAGTGACTCACCTCATCTGTTCCGTTTTTTTTGTACCAGTTCCAAGAGCTGGGCTTTGGTTTGCTTTCCTCCATTTTACATGTCATCACCACATAATCCCCCACATAGCTGACTATTGGCTTTTCTCGCACATCCCCAATCTGTGGAGCTGGTGGAGACCAAATAAAAGAGCATAATAATGAAAATATGGCACTGTATATCCACATTAATATTATGAACAAGCAGCAATGCAAATACCTGCCAAAATAAAATTTATTTTTGACACATTTTCAAAAACGCAAGAGTAGGTTCCAAGGTTTTCTTCTTTCTCAATGCTGAACCTGCAGGGGAAAAGTAGATTAGTGATTATATATTCCAAAAAGATTAAAAAATAACATTTAGGATTAATATTGCATAAAACATACATTTAATAAAGTCATTGTTTTTTACATTCAGTGCAGACTAATAAAGGCCGTACAACTCCTTTTATATACAACAGTGGAGATAACAATTGTCAAGCTGCATAGGGGAGACTGAACTCAAAAAAACATTTAATTTGTATAAATATATAAGAATATGTGAGTACTATTATATCTTTTTGTGAATTACACTGTACACATGTATTTGACAACAGCACACAACAACTAGGGACAGAAATTGAGATATAAAAATACATTTTCTGATACACATGAGCACATGAAACACTCACTCTCGTTTTAGATTATACGGTTCATTCTCCAGCTGCACTGTGAGGCGACTATTCTCAATTTCATTCTCATCTTTCATCCAGTAAACAGTAATGTTTGGTAGTTTGTCCTGATCACCTGTCCAGGTACACTCCAGTTCTAGTTTGATAGGGTTCAACACTTCAATTGTCTCATTTTGACTTTCACCTGTGTGGAGAGTTGTAGACAGGGTTTTGGACACAGACAAGGCAAAATCAGACAGCTGTTCATTCAGAAAAGTGAAATCATATTTGAATGTCCAAGTACTACAGTGATCACCTCTTCAGTTTTTTCTGCTGTAACTAGGATGCCTTAGCAATGTTACAGATGAAAACAGTGAAGCTGGGATTTAAAAAGACACTATAATTAAATATAACATATATGAATACACTTACCTTTAAGGACAACACTCCTTGCAACTGTTGGCACAGGAGCCAGTGGTGAGGGCGTTGCTCCAGATGTCTCTGACAGGAAAAGGGATAAGGTTGACATATATTAATGTATATACAGGTATGATTAAATATAGCACTAATTCATGGTATATACAACAAAACAAGCCACATAAAAAAAAAAATGAAATTATGTGCACAAAGTAAAAGTTGCTTGAACTAGGTGTTACTAAGTTGCTGTTAGGACATTTCCAGTAGTTACTAGGGCACTAGTGGTAATGGTAGTCAGGGTATTGCCAGTTGGATGCTAGGGCGTTCATGGTGGTTACTGAGGAGGTGCTTCAGGTTTTACAAATATAACACTTTATTAAGATTTTGTACTTACTGTAAGTAGCAATACCGCAGTGTGGAAATATTTTGTTAGAAGTAAAAGTGCTGTATTTTAAAGGAAGTAGTTTACCTAAGTTTATGTAAAAACAGTATTAACATAAAAATACTCGATGGTAATTATAGCATATACAGTACACTATTTTTATGTTGCATCTGATTGAGGTGGAAATAATTTGATAAACTTTTAAAATAATAATAATAATTATTATTATTATACTGTAAAGCCTGTGATTATCCCACTGGGCAAATCAACATATAAAAATAATCAAGGAAAGTACAATATCTCAAGTACTTAAGTATAGTACTTAAATATATGTACTTAGTTACTTTCCACCACAGATAACTAGGGTGTTTGTACATTGAGAGTGCAACTGACTTTATTTTAGATTTCTGAAGATACTTCGGCTTCAGTTCAGGTTTCTTAACCCACCTGTTATGTTCATTTCTCAGGAACAGCAGTGAGGTTCCTGGGTTAATTTTACTATTACTAACCATTTCAATCACTATTTAGTGCAATGGTGTTCTTTACCTCTAACAAATTATGGTTCAATGAAGATAATGCACTCGTTTTTCATAAAAGATGCATGTTAAAACTTTTTGTAATGTACATTGGAAAGACCTACATATAAAATACATTTTTACATAAAGTTTTTTTTTTATTTTACATTTTGAAATCTTTTCTTTTTATGAAGTGATGTTGACAAATTAACATGAGACTATTTTATATGTAGGTCTTTCCAATGTACATTACAAAAAGTTTTAACATGCATCTTTTATGAAAAACGAGTGCATTATCTTCATTGAACCATAATTTGTTAGAGGTAAAGAACACCATTGCACTAAATAGTGATTGAAATGGTTAGTAATGGTAAAATTAACCCAGGAACCTCACTGCTGTTCCTGAGAAATAAACATAACAGGTGGGTTAACGGTGTGAAGTGGTTCTTACGTGGTTATTTGGCTATTAAGGTGTTGCAAAGTGTTTCACAGGGTGTTCTAAGGGATTGCTCTGTGGTTACAAATGACCTGCTTCAAGGTTTCCATGGTATTTGCAGTGGTATCCAGGATGTTGCTATAGGGTTCTTACGGTGTTATGTGATGGGTTTTAGGTAGTTGTTTAGGTTGGTTACCATGGTGTTGCTAGATAACTGTTAGGTTCCCTTGGTGATTTTGTGTACTTGATGTGTACTGATAATCCTTATATCACATTTTTCATATAGACATGTGGCCCAAGGTTACTGCTGATTCATAACGATAGAGATAAAACACAAACAAGCTAAAAAAATTAAATTAAATAAAGACAAATACCTCAAGGACAGAATCAAATGTAGAATAAGGATCAAATAACATCTCAAACGGTCCTCCTCCTATATACAACTGAAGCCTGCAGAAATGAACCTACTAATATGCAGTATATGGTACAGTCATCTACCATAAAAAATTCTCTTGAGTTCAATCCCGGCCATAGTATATAACATATAAACATATAAAACATATGCATTAAACTGAATTACCAGCTTGCCAAAATGATAATCCTTGAGCTATATTAAAAGCTATTAAAACCAGACTTTTTTGTTTTTTTCTAATGCAATCTGGTTGTCAGGTTTGCCCGGCTGCACCTGCCTCTCTCACTTCTCTCCCTCTATTTTAGCTCCCTTACCCCTGATTTCTTTATCTGACACACCTGCTTCACGTCCCCTGAATCACCAGTTGCACCTGATTAGTTTCTTCCTATTTATACCGTGCACATCGTCCACTTTGCCAGTTCTTTCTAGACTCTAGCCCGTTTCTATGCCTACCTATTAATTCTAACCGGTTCTTTTATCTGAAGGCCCCAAGAAGTAACACTAAGGAAAAAGGAATCAGCTTTATGTAGATTTATTTTCTTCTGGTTAAATGCAGAGTTATTACAGCGCTGGGCTCTGAGAGATGACAAGTCTCCAAGAGC